GCCTGCGTTGTCCTGATATAGTCAGTGTGGCGCCAGTCCATGACTATGAGGTGTTGATAGTGCGTATATAAACTGTGTATACCACCAGAATCGCACTTGCGCCCATGGCAGCGGCCGAAACAAACGCACACAAGTAGACTCGTTATGTAACACATCGGGTGGTTTCAGGCGACGTGGTGTAGAATGATAGAACAGTGATCCCCTTTTAAATAACATCGATTGTGTTATGGGGCAATAAACGTTTGCATGGAATGCACGAATTAGCGCGGTCCATGTGGCGCAGCATGGAACGTGTATACTCTACCCATGCTTGATCATTTTTATATGTACATGGATTGTAATCATGTTTTTTATTTTCTTTTTTTCTCCCCGTCCCCTGTAGGCATTAAATATGAGGGGCAACTATCTCCGAGATGGGTATAAAAGTCAGCACCGATATGCAAATGGTAGGAATGAGCTCTACGTTATTAGTGCGCCTGGATTTGTTACAAGAATGGTGAATATGAAGATGGCTTAAATCTGCACCATTGCTCTGCAATACATAACGCATTATAATCTATCACCCCTTCAGGATCAGATGGAAACAATAAAATGCAAAACAATTTTAACAATAGAAGGACTTTTTATCAGAAAAAAAATCCGAACAAAGACAGAGATAAAGGAATAACCTTCTGCCCTCACTACACTCTAAGGGGTTAAGACATTTGTTGTTATATTTGAATACCGCTCGTTCGTCATGTGTATATTCGCTCGAGATGTGGGAGATTTTCCGAGATGCCTAGCTTGACGTGTGCTCAGTAACCCCCCCGCACTGTGCGACTGCTGCATTGGGGTTATGTGTCCCGTGGGAAGCTTGCCATCTGAAGGTTCTTGTTGTCGCTCTTCCTTCCTGTCTTGACTTTGTTTCTTCATTTCATTCCTCCCCCCCCTTCCTCGCGTTTCGCGCATTTCTCCATTTCAGGATTGTGCCGCTTCTCTGACGACTGCAAGTAATCCATTTCTTTGCATGACATGTGTGCGTAGTGTGCTGCTTTGCGTTGCGTGTCTGCCGTGGGTGTGTTCGTGTGCATGGCCTCAAAAGGAAGAAAAGGATAAAATGCGAAAAAAAATGAAAAAAATGTGCGAAAAGAGTGAGAACAAAAAAAAAAATGTGACAAAAAATGAAAAAAAATAATGTGCAAAAAAAATGAGAAAAGAAAAAATGTGTGAAAAAAAAGTTAAAAAAGACAACAGCAGAATAAAAAGAAAAGAGAACAACAACTGTGCACCACCTGCAACGCCTAGTGCATCCATCTCATATATACATGGTACTCACAGTGAAGGCCCTTTTTTTTTTTTTTTGGTACCCCCCGTTTTGTATCAATCTGTGCATATAGGGGGCATGTGCTTGCCCTCATAACCATATTATTATGATAGAGACGCAGTTTTTTGGTTCACGTTGATGAAGACAAGTTGTTGGGCGTTTTTTTGTGTGTAGATGGTTTGGTAGAAAGTTCGCCCCTTTTCAGCCTTTTCGCCTGTTTTGTTCCTTTTGTTTTTGTTTTGACACCGTCACCCCACAGCAGAGGCAGACGAAGAAGCCGACGCAGTTATATTTTTTGTTATCCACCCCTTTTTACCATTCCCATCCCCCCCTTTTTTTTTTCATTCCTTTTTTTCTCTTTTTCCATTTCTCCGACTTGGTGACTCTCTTCCCTTTTCCTACTCTGTTTTTCTTTCCTCCTCTCGATCTCTTCCTTCCTACCAGAAATTTGCACAATTTAAAATTAGTCGACACGTTTTTTTTACAAAGATCCTACATCGATTGCGCAATAATAGTACATGGGCCAAACAACGAGATATACCTCTTCACGTCGGTGTCGCCATACACAATAAACGTGTGGATCTTCGTCCCCGGAGAAGGATCCAAGGAGCTTGACATAAAGCATTTGAAAAAGATAGAATTTGAATTAACCCCAGAAGAAGAGGAATATGGAGATGATAAATTAAAAGGCAATAAAAAAATAAAGAAGAGGAAAAAAAGGGTTCTGTCCTTACTATACGCGGAAGAGTGTATTTTCGCAGGCTTAGATAATGGACTTATCAAAATTATGCACCTCCCTTCCTCCGATTCCTCAACACTGTATGCACACACGGACTCCATATACAGCATTGTGTGCATCGATGGGATTATAATATCATCCAGCATAAATGGAGAAGTTAAATTTTGGAAGTACCAGGAGTCCTACTTAAGCTTTGTCACTATAAAGAAAATTGACACAAAAACGAAGATTTTTAAAATGATCGAAATTATTTCTTCGAAATGTGCCTCAGGAAATGTTAATAGCAATTCCAACCCAGAGGAAAATAAATTTAACAGGACCTTGTGGGTGTGTGGTGACAACATAACAATTATTAATCTATTGAATTTAGAAATAGTAAATGTGGTGAAGTGTAAGTATGGAAGTGTCGTTTCAGTGATGCAGTATGAAGCTAACGTCATCACTGCTATGAGTGATGGGAAGATATTGGCTTTCAGTCTTAAAGGAGATAACCACTTCGAAATGAATACGTTACCTATTTTTTGCATGGCTGGTTTGACCAATCATAAAAATGTGCCTATACTGATTTATGGCTCCACCAAAGCGTTGTACACTTTTTCGCTGCCCGAGTTTAATCCCTATGGATATTTGAAGGACCGCGAATCCATGACCCTGAAATTTAACATTAACGACCCCGACTTTATCCTGCCGCTTTCGGGGCCCTACTTTATCGTGCTGTTTTCCAATGGTAAGTTTTTTGTACACACGCGAGGAGGACAGGAGCAGCGTCCTCTTCATAAGAGCCAAGCAACTATGCAGAAGCAGCTCAGTTACTTGTTGAATATTCCGTACATATATGTGTAGATCTGCTCTGTGCCCTGTACTTGTTAATACATTTTCCCTGTGCTGCACATTTTGCTGCATCTCAGTTACCGCGACCCCTTTTTTTTTTTTGTTTCTTTCCCTTGCAGCTGGCAATGCTAAAGTATGGAAATGGGAATCAAAGGATTAATTCCCCCTTTTTAAGTAGAACCAGAGAAGAGAACAAGAGGAACAAAAAGAGTAAAAGTCGCATTTTGACCAAGTTCCCTTCTTGTTGCCTTTGGATCTAATCCCGCCCCGCAGCACACACGGGTTTTTTGTTCTCCCCCCTGTTTGTGTGTGTATGTCTGCCTGAGTGCATGTGAAGTGGTGCGCAGATACCGTTGTTCGTGCGATTCGCGCAAAAGTTGAGCTATTGACGCCGAGCTTCGCACGTGCAGTTGTTTACGGGGTCATTGTGTATATATTTTTGGAGCTTGCCCCCCTTGTGTACACAACCTGTAAGTTTTTTTTTGACAAAATTATAATGAGCCCCCCTTTTTTTTTAAACAGTTTACTTTACTTTACTCCTTCTAGTTTACACATGAGTTGTATCATTTAATTATGTTTACATGTGAAAGTGTATATTTCTTTATTTTGCATTTATGCGTGCACGCGAGGGCACACAGATATACACTGCACATGTCCATATGCGCAGCTACGTGGCTGCAGCGTGCGGGCAGATTCTGTTTTCCATGCAGGAAGATGAAGAGGAAAACAGCAAAAAAAAAAAAAAAAAGAAAAGAAAAAAATACAAAAGTGTAGAAAAGCGTGGTTGGGCTTTTCAAGTGAGCGCATTCTTGTATTCGCTATATTTTCCTTTTTTTTTTTTTCACTACATACCATAAGCTCCTTTTATCTAAAGAGTTGCACAAAATGTCCTATGTTGCCCCATGAGTACGCTGCACGCCTTTTAATGTCCCCCTTGTTTAATGCAAATTAGCCACCACCTAGCGCCGTGAAGCTGTACGTGCATATACGTAGACGCGCGCATGTAGAAGATGCACCGTATTGTGTAAACACACATGCATGGACATATTTGTGCTTTTTTGATATACCCGTGTGCATTGGTGAGGCCCTTATGCAGTTTCCTGTGTTTTCGCGTAGTTGCAGCTACGATGGCCCTTGCACAATTTTTATAATTCATTTTTTTTTTTTTTTTTATTTATTTTTAAAAAAGGCAAGCTTTATATATTACATCCAAGTTATGCCAAAAAAAATGCATAATGCACCTATATTCAGTGTTTTGGTAAATTTCGAAAAACTCAGACGAACATATGTATACCCCTCCCCTCGACTCAATTTAATTGGCCTTGCGGCATATGTCGTACTGTGGATAAAAGGTTGGTCCCTATTTGAAGCGTGGACGAAAGATTCGTTGGATGCTCAATTGTGGATGACTTTACAAACCATTATATCTCACACATGAGCTCAAACCTCGTCAACATGAAGTCATGTGTGCACACGTCAGCAGCCATGATCAGGGCGTGACATCATTTTCAAGCAGTTGTACGAATGGAAAATCCTCATGGGCGTATTTACCTGTGCACAAAAATTTGAACAGGGTGAAAAAAAATTGCCTATATGAATGGTAACAATGGTTAAATGGATAATTGTTAGGTAGGTGAAAAAGGAATTTAAAAAAAAAAAAAAAAAGTCAGCAGCGTAATGCAAAAAAGAAAAAACAAAATTCTAAAAATTTCAAAAACAAAACAGTCACAGACAGGGTTATTCTGCAGCCAGGCACCACGCACACAATTGTGCATACATAGACATACATATATATGATTATGTTTAGCATATGTGTGTTTTCTTTTGGCAGCCTCCCCTTTCGCGTCCCCCCTCCCAACCAGGCGCAAGCACACCTGTGAAAGGGGAGAGAGCGGACGCAAACGCAGGCCAGCCGCTCTAGCACGTTCAATTTAATTACAAATGAAAGATACAGTCACTGAAGCATGGAACACATTGAAGCTTTAGTGAAACAAATGCAACAAAAAAAAAAAAAATAAATAAAATGAAATGTGTACATAAGTTGAGCCAGCAGACGGAGTAAAGCATGTAAACGAACGAACGCACGGGTGAGGAGACAGGCTTGCATGACCTCTACATCGCACTTGGCTAGTTCATGTGATGATCCGTTATCTCGCAACACCACTTGGTAAAATTTTCGAAGAAGTGGAAACCATTATTTTTTCTGCGGATCCTTGTAGACTTGGGCCGCTTAGGCAAACTTGACTGGTCAGTTATGAGTAAGTCATTTTTTACATCATAGTAAGACGAGGTGATAAAGAAGTTCATAATTAAAAATCCTTTAGAATTTCCATCATCCCCTATTATAGGGATTCTCAATGGATATTCCTGCGAAAGAGATTTCACTTTTAGTTGCAATCGACCAGTTACTTCCGTCTTGTACACAGACGTTTCTATCACTTTTAGGTAAATAAATTCTTCATTGTTGAATGGTAATTTTATTATTTCGTTTTTCAAATCACAGTCCGCATATGTGTTCGATTCGTTCAACTTACAACTGTAAAATTGGGATTGATATTTTTCCAGAATATCATCATAGGTGTTGAAGTAAACGCTGACTGAATATTTTATGTCTCTGAGGTTCAAGAATGGGGTCGGAATTTCCTCCAGCTTTTGTAGACATAGGATTGCTTGTAGATGTTCTGGGGGGTGTTTGTGGGAATGGATGCCCTCCGTGTGGTTGGTACTTTTAAGCTTGGCGCATTTCCTCTCCTGATCGCCTATCATGTCCGCTTCTTTTTGCTTGTCAAAGACGAGGGCGAAGTCTTCCTTGGGGAAAGAATGAAAATTGACATCCCCCAAGTGGGAACCCTCGAAAGGGGCACTCCCGAAATTGGCTTCCCCAAAATTGGCACCGCCATAATTGACGCTATTAAAATTCGCGCCATATGGCTGTGCATTTAACGCGGAAATGTCCAAACCGCCCAAATAACCCATGCTGGCCAGATTATGTGCACTGTTCACGCTGTTTATATTATTGCACAAAGCAGCGTTGTAGTTATGCATCAAGAAATCATAATTTACATTGCCCACTCCAGTGGGGTGCGTCGCGGTGGCTATGTGTTCCACATCAGGCATACTGGCGATGCCACTCATAATGGGCACACTGTTACTAGCGCTCCCGTGTTCATATAAATTGGTGTAGCTGTCTGGATCGATATAACCATTAATTCCATTTTGCCCAATTTTCCCACTTACATTGCTACTATTGTTTACGTTCACCAAGTAGGAATTATTGATCTTTGTGTTCATGCCCGGAATTACATACTCCCCATCCATTTCGCTCTTAAGATCATATTTCACATTTTCGCTGCTGGGGACCAAGTTGTTAATGACTGGATATGGATTATAGTAATCCCCTTGGTTGAGATTTAGGCCAGAATTTATATAGTCATAATCTGGTGCCCTTTTCGATGGTATAGGTCCTGGTATATTGAAGGTATTATTTGGCTTCGCCATTATGCCTTTACTATTGTTGTCACTTATTACGTACATGTCTCCACCGTGGTACAGGTTCATCGAGGGGGTGGTATTTAGTTCTCCATGGTTGTAGTAGGGAGTCTCCTCTAGGGAATACCCACTCTGATCCACAAGGTTAATATTCCCAGGGTGTTGGTACAAACTGTAATCTGCGTGGTCCTTTGGGTCAGATAGATTCGTGCTGTCGTGCTGCTTATACGCGTTCTTTCTTGGCTGCATGGAGTGGAAAAGAGGGATATAATAAGCAGACACAGTTTTGGGGGAAATGCTACATGTGTATGCCCTCCCTTCCCCCAACAGTTTATCTCAAATGTGGGAAATGATAGATTTAGGCATAGAAAAGTAGGATTCTCATTTCTTTGTTCTCGTATTGTGCTACATTTTTATGCTTACTACGTTGCTGATGCTCTGTTCTGACGGTATCATTTTCCCTGCCGCAGAACCGTAAGAATATTTCTCCATTAACTTCTGGCGAGAGGAGAATAACCACGGTTATAACTCCGAAAACGGCCAGCAATTTTGTCCTTTCTAAAAAATTTGTTCAGTGAAAATACACTCTTGGTGGTACCCCAAAACCTGCCACACCAAGTTGCGTTACGGAAAAGGACAGAAACAATGTTGGAACGGGCTGTTAGCAGGATAAAAGGGGGTGAATGGGGAAAGCATTCACTACGTGGGGGTGAATGCAAAGTGCGTTTTATTCTGAGCAGTTGACTTCATAATAGTCCGCGTTTGGGTTGGGGGAAATAAAAAAAAAAAATAATACGTACTACATTCGAATATGCTAAAGAGGGTGATGGCTAAAATACTGTATGCTAATGTGAAATAAACAAAATGGCAGTATTGTTCTGAACAGCCATGTAACAAAAAAAAAAAAAAAAATGTGTATTTGTTTATAAGCGGCAAGGTTAAAAAAGAAAAGTGTATTTGTTTCTGAACAGCAATATGCAAAAAAAAAAAATAAAATAAATGTGTATTTTATTCTGAACAGCAATACAAAAAAAAGAAAAAAAAAAAAAAAAAAAAAAAAAAGGAAAAAAAAAAAAAAAAATTTGTGCACAAATTAGTAAATACATTTTGTATAC